TTGTTACAGTTGACTGTGCTTGTTTATGTTGAGGGTAGGGGGTTGGGCTGGGGACTGCTGATATTCTGCTGCTCTGATATCCACAGACCAATGAGGCAGACAATACAGTAGCATGAACAAGCTTCTTAGACTCCTCACTGTCAGGGTCCAAAGAGAATCCAGTGAGTAGCCTCTGATTTGGGAGAAGGATTTCTCCTCTGATGGGAGGAGGATAGGATGCCAAACCAGGACTTGGGTCATTAAGAGAATGGAGTTTCTGGCCTCGGGGGATTAAATAGCAGCACCTGATAAGAAGACTAAACAGTGGGATGTTAAATCAGAAGTTTGACCACTAGGAAAGTGAAGGACAAGCTACTTTAGCTTCTCCATCTCCAGGGTAGGTCTCCGGCTTTATCCAGCTTCTATAGCTGTTAGAAAAGCCAGAGTTTAAATTCTGTTTGGTCACCAGTCAGTCTAAAAGCTTCTCCTGTGGCTTCGAGCTTTCTAAGTTGCAAGATTACCCCAGAAGCCTAATCAGAGGTGATCAGAAATTCAGTCAGAAGTCTCAAATGACAGAACATTTTTGTATACAATGGGTTTCCTAATCGTGGGTCCATTAGCTGGACCATAGTCTTTAGATTGTAGCCCGGGCCCTGTAAAATGGGGAATAGGAGGAGTCCAGGTAGCTTGTTCCTTGGTAGGCAGTAATCCTAACACCCCAGTGGGGATGGGGGTGGGAGGAATTGAAGGTCAGGGTAAATGCTGTAGTGAGCTGCTTATGGACTTAGGTCCTGGAGTCAAACGCCTGTAATCACAACCCGCTCTGTAGGGCCATGGGCAACTTAAGTAGCCTACACTTTCTCATATGAAATCGGTTGTAAGGAGTAAGTGAGATAACCCACACAGGGTGCAATTAGCAAGTGCCAGCATAGAGTAAGCACTCAGTATGTGTCAACTAGTATTACCATGGGCCTACAGTCCCCAGGCATCCTATCTTGCCAGGAAAGTACCACTCATACCCATTACTCAGCTCACACATTTAATTAGAGGATTTTGGCAGCTGCAGGGTTGTCTTTCCATCCATCATCTCTCCTGGAAGTAGTGCCCTACTACATCAGTGCAGAGGCAGCATCTATCACGAGTTTTAGTCCCATTCACAGAGGTCAGATTCTCTTTCGGGCCGTGGTCCATGGCTCTCTGTACTTGGTGCATCAGGGCCTACCTAGCCCATGTTCATTTCTGCTGGGCTTCGGGGGCTTTCTTCACACACTGTGCCCTGTCCAATCGCAGGGTTACATCTGGGAGGTCAGTTTGGCCTGGGCTCTATGATGAGTAGGTTGACAATCAGAATGAGTCAGGATTCGAAGCGGCGCGCAGTGCCCGGGATGACTCCTTAGCGCCGAGGCCTGTGTCTTGCCCAGAAGGGAAATCTGGCGATCTCTGCCCGGCCCAACCCGGCTTTAGGGGTTTGCGCCCGGGCCCCTCCGGCTACCTGGTGGTGATCCCGGGCGTTCCCGAAGGCCACGGCGTAACTCCTGAGTGAAGGTGTCTCTGAAGCGGGCAGCGCGGCGGCCCAGGGAGCCCGCGGGCCCAGCCGCGAGGCCTCGCAGGCGCCGGGCTGCGTCCTGGCCGCGCAGCTGGGCCTGCAGCAGTGCGAAGGCGGTGAGCTGCGCCGCACGCCGGATGGGCCGCGACTCGGACAGGCGTTCCACCAGCTGCGGACTGTGCAGCAAGACCGCCAGCAGCCGGCGAAGAACCATCCTCAGAGAGCGAGCCGGAACCCCAAGGTCACCGCTCTGGCTTCTGATCGGTAAGGCGCGACTGCGGACCACATTACGCCCGCGCCGCCAGATGACGACACTGCTGCGCTGGGATTGGTCGGCAGGATACCGACTTTTCTGCAGCCGCTTTCGGGCGTTTCCGGTTCCGCCACCGCTCGTTGTTGACGGTGTGTCGGTGTCCTAGTCCATATATCAGCACGATGTCGGGTGGCCTCCTGAAGGCGCTGCGCAGCGACTCCTATGTGGAACTGAGCCAGTACCGGGACCAGCACTTCTGGGTAAGGGAGGCAGGACCACGAGAAGGGAGGGCCTTGGGCCAAAATGCTGAGAATCGGTTTGCTCTCGTCTCATTGTGTCGTCTCCAATTCTCTAGTATCCCGAAACCTGAAGTGAGGCCCCCGTGCCTGCTGGAGAATGGATGCTGAAAGGGCCTTTGGATGTCACTGAATCCCCTTCTCTCACAGAAAGGGAATTTGAGGCTCGTTTTCCCATTTCCTTGCAGCCTCTCCCTCTTCCCAGGCCAGTGCAGAGGGAATCGAGCGGCAGTAGTGATGGCGGCCGTTTTCATGGGCTGCGCCTCGGCAAGGTGATTTTTGTAATGAGGGGAAGTGTCCCTTTGACACCTGGAGTATGTGGAATCGCCCCCCTGACTCAGATACCGAGGCTTTTTATTTTAAGTTAGATGAGCTAAACTGCCCTTCGGCGCTTCGATCCTTTCCTTGGTCTAGTAGGATGATCCTACCAAGTTCTGCGTGGTGGTGGGGAGACACAAAGTTGAGCCCTCTCTCCGCCCTTGGGGAGCCCTCAGAGTGGGGAGGTGGACTAGCCAAGTAGGCCCGTTGTATCTGGATGTCAAAATTAGTGAACAGCAGGGTTTCAGAAGAGGGAAATTTTAGTTGAGCATGTCATAGATTTTGTGTAAAAAGGGAAGGCTGCAGATTTTCCAGGTGGGGCTCTTCGGTGTCAGCAAAGGCGGGGGCGGGGTGGGGGAGAGCGACACTCATTAACCGCTGGCTATTTAATATTTATGGGGTGCTGTTGCTGAAGCGGTCTGCTAAACTCTGGAGAGAGAGGGAAGACAGTTTTCCACACTCTGAGTTTATAATCCTCTAGTAGAGATTGTAAATGGAGGCAAGTAATCATCCCCCAACCATAAAATTATTTTCGTTGCTACTCTATAACGGTAATTTTGCTACTGTTATGAATCGTAATGTAAATACCTTTTTGTTTTCAATGGTCTTAGGCGACCCCTGTGAAAGGGTCGTTCGACCCCCAACGCGACCCACAGGTTGATAACTGCTGAAAGCAGAAATAATGAGTGGAAAGGGAGGACTCTTGTGACTAGGAAAAGTGGGGGCACATGTAGAGGAGGGTTGGTGTGGACAATGTGTAAAAGTGTTAGTAGAGTAGGGAAAAGGAAATTTTGTTTGAGGCCAAATTGAGGAAGATCTTAAATTCATTCACTCAGTCAGACATTTTTTTTAAAAAGATTTTTATTGGGGAATTGGGGGAAGGGGAACAGTAAGTTGCTGTCCTTTTGTTCTTCAGTCCAGTTGTGGAGGACGTTGCTTCACTGGCCCAAGTTGGCACCATCATTGCGCTCTTCCCGGGTGAGGCAGATCAGTTGCCGGCTTCTGGACGGCCGCTCACGCTGGCTGCTGGCTACACACGGTAGCCCATGGCAGCCCACTGCAGCAGGGGCTGCAGTCTACTGGCAGCCCAGCTCCAGGTTGAGCTGTTGTTCAGCATCTTAGCTGTAGAGGGCAGTGTCACTGGCCCTCATATGTGGGATCCGATCCGGGGCCCTCTGGCGTCCCAAGCCAGTTCTTAACCAACGTGCCACTCGGCCGGCCCTCAGTCAGCCATTTTTAAATGCTTACTATATAATATGCCAGGCATAATTTTCACGTCTATCACAGTTCTCATTACTTTAGAAAATTCCACATCACAACCATCCTGAATTTCAAGCATCCTGCAAAACTGAAACTGAAAGAGTTTGACTTTTGCTATATTCATCTCTGCGGTCTAAAGCCTGTATCTTTATGTAGGTAGTAGTAAGACACTGTCATGCAAAATTTCTAGTGTTCCCCTGAATGGAATCCACATTAATATCATACCTTAAATAAGTACTTACACCATAGTTGTCTTAAGCCATAGGCTATTTGGACATAACTTACATGGGTGAGAAAAGAAGAAACAAGAAAATGCCACCGGACCATAATTTTAACAATTTACATTAAAGCATTAATACAAATAAAGTGAATCTACTTTATCTAATGTATCATTCCAAAGTTGTGAAAATTTATTTTTAATGTAGAATGCCCTGTGGACTTTTTCAGGAAGTATTGGTTTAGGGATAAGACTGAGTTTGGATTCCAGCTATACCTACAGAATAGCTGTGTGGCCCTGGACAGGTACTTAACTGTCTTTCCTCATGTGCAAAATGAGGATAAATTAGGACCTACCTCTTTCAGAGAATTAAATGAGATCTCATACATGGAAGTCTCTGACCTGTAGTCCCTTGATTCTCCCTAGAGGTAGACATACTTTTTCTTCTGTATGGGTATATTCATACTTTAAAAAAATATAACTTGGGCATACCCTTCACATTGTTCTATACATCCTTTTTCACTGTTTACTGTCTTGCAGATGTTCCATATCACTGCATGTGGACGTACATTTTTGTTGGGGCTGCATAGTTTATATTTATTGATGTACTGTAATTTATTGCATCATTTTCCTTTTGATGTGAGTTTAGATGGTTTCTGTATTTCTCTTTTCTACCACTGGAAGTGAGAACACGAGACCTATTACTCTGAGCGCTGTGCTGCAAAGCATTCAGAAGCGAATAATCCAAAGTCTTATTATTCTCAGAGTGAAGAAACTGGATCAGCATTATATATGGAGTAGTAAATAAAGAAGGGAGGCCTCTTAGGAAAATACTGTGGAGGCCTGAATATAGTTCTTCTCAGCTACTTTCCACGCAGGAACACCACTGTGTAGCTGATGTTAGAGCCCGAACATGGGTCTGAAGGGTCTGAAAGCAGGTCAGCCGGTAGGCCTTCTATTTAATCAGTATTTGTCCTCTCCAGCATGAAGGCTAAAAGAGAAGGTCCAAGGATTGCCACACTGGTTTCTTTAAAGGAATCTAAAAATATTATGTCTGGCCCATGAGTCATCTTGTCCCCAGGAATTGTCAGGTGTGTTGGCTGAAGCCCAGTTATATTCCTGTGTCTGGCTGGCTTCATCCTGCTTTCCAAATTAGGAAGCCTGTCAAGAAAATGAGATCTCTTGTTTTTAGTGATCACTACATTTTCTGCTAAACTCAGAAAAAGATATGAGCATGTAAACTAAGCAGTTGTTGCTTTGAACATTCTCTATGGGAGTATTACAAGGGGTACCCTCTCTCTGCAAATCTATTTTCCACTACAAGGGATAAAAGGGCCCTTTCTAATACATTGGTTCAGGGTCTGGAAATTAAACTTGGGCCATTAGAGAAGAATCCAGTGCTGAGGATATGGAATGTGCAAAGAAAAGGTATGCCACTAGTGTGGGTGTCACTGTAGTATAGGAGGAGGGCTATATGCAATAAAACTTGCAAGCCACAGCTCTACTAAAAGCTGTCTGGACCTTGCATAAGTGCTTCATAGATTATGAACACCCCCACCCCCTCCCAGCAAGGGATTTGGCATGGATTGGGATGATGAGAGCTGATTCCCAAATCAGAATGAAAGTTTTTCCCATACTTAGGAATACTATTTAAGCAGGGCTTTTCTTAGATTGTGCTGCTTAACTTTTTCTCTATTTGAAATTTAGGGTGACATTGACGAACAGGAAAAATTACTGAAGAAAAGCTGTACATTGTATGTTGGAAATCTTTCCTTTTACACAACTGAAGAACAAATCTATGAACTCTTCAGCAAAAGTGGTGACATAAAGAAAATCATTATGGGCCTGGATAAAATGAAGAAGACAGCATGTGGTTTCTGCTTTGTGGAGTATCCTCCCTAAGTACCTGATGTAGCTGTTGGATGAGGGTGGGGCCTAGAGTGGTGTCACCTGTTTGAAAACATGAGTGAGGCTATTTGCTCATTAGCATTATCTCTACCTCTTCTTCATCTGTCTCCTACCTTCTGTCCAATGCGTTTACACACTCATATTGTGAAAGCTGGTAACATTAACATTCTGTTCTAAAATCCATGCTTTTGTTTATAGTTGATTCTTTAAGAAAAACAATCTTTCAAGAATATATGTTCATGGTGTTTAAAAAAGTCAAGGGTACAGTGGAAATAAAATCCCTGTACCGTTCTAAGCCCAGAGACAATCCATTACCAATCTCTTGGGTTTCTTTCCAGAGGTAATCTTGTGGATGTGTGGTAGCGTACTGCATACAGTATTTTTTTTCACCTCTTAGAGATTGTTTCATGTTAGCACATGTAGGTCTTACCTCTTTTTAAAATGGCTGTAGAGTATGTTATTTTCTTAGAGATGTATTATATATAGCTTGATTTTATAGGTCAGAACCATACCAGCCCAAAGATAGATTTAGATCTGGTTACATAGGTGTGGGAACTACTAATCTGAGTGATATACTTGAGTCTTTCCTTCTAATGAAATGCAATGGCAATTCTATATGCATTGTGATCCTCTCTTTCATTAAGGTTGTTCCTGAATATACAACTCCAAATTTGGATATTGTTTCCTTGGATAAGAAGTGTGCATTTTGTGGTCTAAACCTGCACTGAATATATTTTACATTTTGCAAACCAAAATATGGAGACAGTGGGACCAAATAATTATTAACAGCATTATCCAGGAAATCTTGATCAATGTAGCCATAGATAACTGTCATATTTGATTCTCTAAGTGCTTCTGGACCAACCTCAAACAGGCATGCACAAGCCAAACTACTGTTTTTAATGCTATCTGGCTGGATTAGTTTTTGTACTTAGCAACTCAGCTTCATTTAGATGTTGCTTCCTATATTTCCAAAAACGTGTGGAGAAATACCATAGTGTTCCTTAATTCTTGTACTTAAGATACTATTTAAGAGCAGATGCAGAAAATGCCATGCGGTACATAAATGGAACTCGTCTGGATGACCGGATCATTCGCACAGACTGGGATGCAGGCTTTAAGGAGGGCAGGCAATACGGCCGTGGACGGTCTGGGGGCCAGGTATGCAGGAAGGTTCTCTGGGCTCAGCCTTTGCCTGGGATTCCAGGCCTAATGACAAGTGTTTTGTCAATTTGTATTTGCTCTTTTGAAAATAACTTTCTGCATATAACCTTGGCTTGAAGTAAATCTGAAATCACCCATTGGGATTGGTAAATTATTTTCTTAAACCTTTCTATACATTTCTACAAGCAACTCTTATTGGACTTTTGTTAGAGGCTAGATTATTTTCCATCTGCAAAAGGGTCTAGACCAAAAGCAGAATGCACTGAAATGTTTTAAGTTTTTATTTTAAAATAAATAGCCTAATTTAAGTACTTATTTGGAGTGTGCTAATTTTGAATGCTGGTGAATATATGCATGATATTTGATAACAAATACTTTAGGTAGTCTTAGATAATTTTGCAAGACTGTTAAGCTTTATATCAGCTGCTTTAAAAATTTATGTCCTCCTTGAATGTTCACATTATGACATCTGAAAAAGCTTAGCTGTGTGTCTGACATATTTATGGGGGGCATATTTGTTACACCAATCTTCTCTATACCGTGACTTGTGTTCTTTTCATTTAAGGTACGAGATGAGTATCGGCAGGACTACGATGCTGGGAGAGGGGGCTATGGAAAACTGGCCCAAAAAACCAACGAGCGGTGAGAGCCCCATCATGAAAAACACACGCCTTTGGCCTGTTGAATTTGACATACGTTACCCAAGGTCTGCAAATCTGCCCATTTTTACCAAGCTTTGATCAATGTCTCTGTTGAACTGGAAGCCTCTTCATGGTTTCCCTCTGAAAATTATTAAAGGACAGGATCTAAAAGCATGCCTTTAATTCTATAGTCTTAGCAATGTATCACGTTACCGGAATGATTTTCTTACCAGATCAAGAACTGTGTTCCTTGGCAACAGATTTAATATATAATATTGATCTATCAGCCAAAAACACCATACTTCTTTTAGGAAGACAGGGGGTAGGGGTGGGGGTGGGATTTGATTACTATGTCTGCATCTAAGTAGGTTCATGATCTACACTGGAGCCTAGAATTATTTTTAAAATGTAAATTTTCATGAGATAAAGTTGAATAAAATAAGTTTTGCTATGTTGTATAGTTTTGTTCTAAGTTAGGAACAGATGTTTCACAACTGAATTTGTGTCTGTGTTGGATTCTAATCTCTAAAGGCAAACTTAGGAGTTGAGAACTTGCAAAATAGTTGGTGCAAAAGTAAGCCGTAGACAGTCCCAGAGGACACCATCTGCTTACATGCTAAATATATTAGGAAATTAGTTACAGGGCTTAAATTTGAAGGGTATTTATTTAACACATTTTTTAAAAGATGTGTTTTTCCTAAAGCTAAAAAAAGCAAGGGTTTATATTACAGAGAACCTCAAATACTCTATGGGAAGTGGGGACATTGTCAGTAGGAAATGGGATGAAATATCAAGGGACGTTGTCCTGACATGACAAAGGTTGCTGTGAGGGCCAGGAGATTTATTCTTTTCATTTCCAGAGTGATCTTGAGAATGGAGTGGGTTTAAAAAGAGCTTGAAGATCAAGAGACTAACAAAAACAATCAGAAATGCTTCCCTTAGGAAATGGGTTTTGGCCAGTTCTCATGTTGGAAGTCTGTCTTGTTTTTTTTCCCCTAATTACTGAGTTTCAGAGCCTTGATAGTGAGCTAATGGTCTTTATGGAGTCTATTTATTTTGCATTTGTAAAGAAAGAGGTGATTTCTCTCTAATATTATATGTGAACTATTGCTCATTTAAAACTGCTAATGTAGTATAATTTTCCCTGACATAAGTGAAATTTTTTCATCTAGCAACAGAGTATCTCTAAACTTCCCATAGGGAGCTGAAATATCTCAAATGTGACACTAGTTAAGTATAGCTTTTCTCATTAAATTGAAACTGGTTATTTGAATTTTTAAGAGTTATAATTACTTTTAAGTGCTTAGGAAAAAATACTTGCAAATATTTAATTTCATGAGGACATAACTATTCATTTTTTAAATTTCTTTTTACACTAGTTTGAATTAATGTATTTTATATTTTTTGTAGTAAAACATCACTCAGATTTCTACAGGCCTGAAAACCACAGGTTGTCTGAATTGTGTCTTTTGTAACAGATTTCAATAAAGCTAGACCAACTTGTCATTGTCTGTACCCATTTTCTCACCTATAAAAAGAGATATTGGAACCCTCTTACTCTGGAATTTTTTTTTTTTTTTTTTAAGATTTGTATTGGGGAATTGGGGGAGGAAACAGCATTGGAGAATCGGGGAAGGGGAACAGACAAGTTGCTGTCCTTTTGTTCTTCAGTCTAGTTGTGGAGGATGTCGCTTCACTGGCCCATGTTGGTATTGTGATCATTGCGCTCTTCCCGGGTGAGGCAGATTTGTCGCCAGTCACTGGACGGCAGCTCACGGTGGCTCTTGGCAGCTCATGCCAGCTGCTTGCTGCTCACGGTAGCTTACGGGAGCCCACTGCAGCTCCACTGCAGTCCACGCCATCGCCGGCGCCTCACGGCAGCCCAGCTCCAGATCGAGCTGTTGTTCACCATCTTAGCTGTAGAGGGCACAGCGTTATTGGCCCGCAAGTGGGATCTGAACCGGGGCCCTGCTGCTCAGATCTGGCGTCCCAAGCCAACTCCTAACCAATGCGCCACTCAGCTGGCCTGGACTATTTATGAATATGTTTGGGGAGGGGAAATTTATGAATAATGTGCAGAATTTGCATGTGCATTTTGACAGTTACCTAATGTGGGAGCCACAAGTCATGTGTAGTTAATTAACTGAATGAAAACATTCAGTTCCTCATTCACACTAGCCACATTTCAAATGCTCAATAGCAGCATGTGGCTGTTGTAGTTGATGCAAAATAAAACATTTCTATCATTGCAGAAAATTCTTTTGGACAGTGCTGTTCAAAGGTAGGTTGCTTGGAGCCTACATTGGTCACTGTTCATAAATGAGCCTTGTCATGACTGGAATGTCACTGGGAAAAACTATTCACTAAACAGTACATGTTATTCAACACAAGAGAACATACATTTATAAAGGCATTTAGTTTATTTTTCAAAAAAATACTTTTGCTAGAAGGTTTGAGTAATTTTACATGATCACAATCTTTAAATAAATTCTTTTTCTGACCAAAAGGTACCACTTAAGTGAACAGCTTGTCTACGGCTGCTTTTGTAATACCCAAATACCATCAGCGCTTCTCTGATGGTATTCCCCAGGTCTTAATTGTCTACAGGCCAGGAGACAGAGCCCAACACATAAAGTGTATGTGCATTACAACTGCTGATTAGTTCAGTTTCTTAATGTAATTAATCAGAGCAGGTAGTCAATATATCTAATTCACACTATCAATACACTTCCTTGCCTTAGGGTCTGATCCACCCAGAGCTCCCAGTTCTCTCTCTCAGCCTAGGTAAGCAGTGAACCGTAATTGTAAAGAAAAAGGGCAGCTCTACTTGGGCTGGTGCTGGCTGTGTCCCAGTTAGGTCTGTTACTGTTTTGTTCCAACTATGAATTCAAGATGACCAGTGTTACTCGTATTCAATGATAAATAGAAAATACAATGCAAAACCAAAAAAGGGATTTGGGAATTATTGGTAGCAAGTGCTTCTTTTCCCTTAAGAAGAGAATGTTGGTTCTCTATGGTTCTTGAGAGATCTTACTAAAAGTTGAATTAAATCTACATTCATTGCTATAAATTTAACAAAAGGGGGAAAAAAAAGACACAGGAAAGAAGCAACTACAGACTGATAAGTTTGCTGATGGGGAGAATACTGGGCAACTTGAAGGCACATCATAAGTAGCTTTTAGTTTGTACAAGGGCTGCACTCAATCCCAAAAGCATAATGTCTCCCCACCTTGTGGGCAACAATTCAGTGCCAAGCTAGTGACCATAAAACAATGCCCGTCTCTTCCACCAACAGCCCAGACTATATTTTAAAAATGTCTGTTGCAAGGAAACAGTTATTGCAAACATTAGGACAAAGGCCATTCTAATGGAGGACTTGGGCTAAATAGAGGTTTATACCTAATCACAAGACAGGGGAAAGTGACTATGTGTGCTAAAACCAAGTTTCATGAATATAGAGAAACATTAACCAGACTTAAAACATTTGACATGTAGGCTAAAGCACGCTGAACAATGCACCTCAGGGTGTCCCATAAAGCTGGAAGTGAAAGAGAAATGCCTTGGACAGCTGACTTCCAGTTCTCTGGGCATTAAGATTCTTGCCAGAACAGTTATTTTTGTCTTTTCTGCATGCCTGATTCAGTGAGATACGGAGCTCTAAAGAAGAAGACGTTTTGAATCAACAGCCTAGTTACTACTTTGTATAGCTACAAAAAAAACAACAAAAAAACCCCAAATGTATCACACATACACATTTGAAAAATCTCATTCTCAATACTTATGTCTGAAAGCCTCAAGAAAACATCCTCCCCACTTTAAATCATCTTTCCTAATGCTGACACAACCCTATTTGTAGCAGCATAAAGTGCCTCTAATCTCAGTCTTTTTAATGACTTGAAGCACAATTAAGAAATACTGACCTGGTTTTATACTAAGGAGTTTGAGTCTGGGGGACGTAGGAAAGTGCTGGGGCTGTTTATAATGTAAACACTGATGTTGGTGCTTGGAATGTCGGGCCAGGAACCCTGCATGTAAACATGTCTGACTCCACCTTCAACTGCTGGCAGTCAGCCTTACCTGACAGCCAAGTCAAACTGCATTTTAGCTTTTTATTTTTAACACCTAACTAGGCATAAATCCAAGTATCTTCTGCTGTTTATACTTGGTATTTTTCTGTACAAGCTTCTGAGTTTCTTATATACATATATGTTGTTTTTCCTGACCCGGTTTGGAAAAGATAATTGGGTAATTTAACATGCATCTCATTACCTTTCCTTTCAAATATCACAAAAGGCCAGGTTAAAGATGCAAGATCCATTACTTTAATCCTAATGCAGCTAAGTGTAAGAATAGGGCCACTTCTGCCTTTCCCCAGATGAGGTTCATAGAAACAAAAAGAGAACTCCTGTGCTAGAGCCTCAGGGTTGGTCAAGCAGAGACCAAATGAGGAGCCCTACATGTTGCTGAGATCACTAAAGAAATAAGAGGAAAAAAACTGGTAACATTTTTTTTTACTGTACTTCTGAGGAATCAAGTCTTCTCTATTTTCTCCCCACCCACCTCAAAAGACCTGAAGCCAATCTTCAGTTTTGAATGTTTGTCTTAGAAAGGTATTTGGCAAATCTTAATTTCTTACGGGAGACAGACAACACAAGGTAAGTGTCAACTTGGAAATTACTCTTAGAAGAAGGCTGAATTCTCATCTGACCACTTGTTGAGTAGATACTAAGTTTTTTAATGGGTCAAAAATGTAAAAATCCAAGGAATTCAACATTCTAGCAAAAGTCTTTATAAGATATAGGCATTTATTATCAATTCTTTAAAACCAAGAGTGAAATCTCTCACGTGCTAAGATAACTGATCCTCAAGATTGTTGTCTTTTTCTCGTACTTTAATCGACTCTTTCCAAAGCAGGCACTGTGCTAAAAAGCGTGCCTCCATAAATAGAACACACCAGTCAGTTTATGGCCACTTCCTTCTCACCCTTCAAAAGGAATACAACTCAGCTCAAAGACTCAAGAGAGGGAAGTCAGTGAAAGGTGCTGCTGATAAAAGTAAAACAGGACTGGCTTCGTCAGAACCACTCCTAGCTACCCTTTATGCCCAGGGAACACCTACTATTCTGTTACGTTGTATCAAAAACATTCCTCATTTTTAGGTTCTGGGATTAAAATTTAAACCTGTATTCAGTTCACATCTAACTAAGTTTCAAAAGCTGCACCAAATCTACTAGGCTTTTTTTTTTTTAATACTCTGCACTGCATGCTCTGTCTATATGCATGCGTTTGGATAATAAATATTAAATATGGGGGGGGCGGGGAACACGTGGAATCCATAAAATTAAAAATGAAACCGAACTGAACATCAAAAAATAGTACATGATCGCTAGAGAAATGAGTAAGGGCTAAAAATAAATTTGAGGTAACAATAGTGGCCCAATACCACTGATCTGAAATATCTGTAAAAATTCAAATAAGTGTTTGGAGATTCAAGTAACAAACCATCTGCTCCAACTTGGTCAGACTTCCCAGCCTTGCTGAGTTTCAGTCCATGAGCCGGCACTCACACAGCTCCTTGTAAATCCTCTTCCGTACTCGGGGCATGTCTTCTTGGGAAAACTGGAAAGGCTGCTCTAAGGCGAGGCACTTGCAGTACTGCAAAGGTCCCAGAAACATTTAAATGTCACGTGGAGTCATTGTGTTTTACCAGATGCAGAACTAATAGAATAGGGTCTAAGGCAACATTCTAACTTTCATTTATACTTGTTATAAAACAGTGTTTTAAAACATTTACCTTGAAATTATAGTCAATTTTCCAGGCAAGTATATGGCCTGAGATCTCCCCTCCCTCCACACTTAATACTGTGAGAAGCTGAAACTGATAAAGAGGCCCCAATTCTTCTCAAAGTGCAACCTGCTGAGAATGCAGCTAGACCTAACATGGCCTCTAAGTGAGAACTTGGATTTCTTTACAAACCCCAGACATTCATGAGTTCTATGGGTGAGCCCATCTTCCAAGATCTTTGCAATTCTGTAAATTCACGTACTATAATTTCCTTTATAGACATAATGTATAACAAATGTTTCAAGTCTTTTAGACCACTAAGGGGACCTACAGTATGAGAAAGCATAGTTTTTGAATGTAGCCATTATTTAATATCTAAATAGTTTTTACTGTATGGCTAAAGATCAGTTGGCAATGATTAAAAGTATATAGTTAATTCTGCAAATGCGAAGGATCTACGATACAAATTCAGATCAGTCTCCAGTGTGGCTTACTAATAACCTCTGATAAGACACAGATGATACAAATTATTCGTTCTTGGCCTTCGAAGGTGGTTCTTCCTAATAGCATCTGAAAATGCAGAAACTACTGCTTCTCGACAACAAAGGAAGAGAGGAAGGAAAAGTACTCTGTTAACTACCCAGTACTATGTACACATCACAGGGACTCCCATCTCTCCTCTCTAAATCCAACAAATTTAATTAACACATTGTAAATTGTGGGGAAAAAACTTTTCTTTACCTGGAGCACAAAGACTCCACAGTCACTGTCATTTTTCTGTTGTGGAATACACTAAAGGGAAAAACAAAATGATCATTAAAATAAAAAAAAGTACTTCTCTTCAGATAAGAAAATTTGCTTTTATGGAAAAATAAGAGACAGGAAACATATCTCTATCCAGGACAGTTAGTATATACTTCTGGTATTTATTTATTTTTATTGGTGGGAACAATGTGTTTTTTCCAGGACCCATCAGCTCCAAGTCAAGTTGTTGTCCTTCAATCTTAGTTGTAGAGAGCGCAAGCTCAGCTCCAAGTCCAATTGCCGTTTTGCGAGGCGGGGTGGGGCGCAGCCCACCATCCCATGAGGGAATCCAACTGGCAACCTTGTTGTTAAGAGCATGTGCTCTCACCAACTGAGCCACCTGGCTAGCCCCTACACCTCTGGTATTTAAAGTGTTTGATTTTAGGAGGCATCTGGCCACATGAAAAGATCTATCAATCAACCACAATTATAGAACAACACTTTGCCTAAATATGAGAAACGGGAAGTCAAATAAAATCCTATTTTAAACTTTCACTTGGATAATTAGTTTGGCTGTGAATTCACTGACGATGGAATTGTGGATCAGAGACCAAATGCCTGGACTCTGAGTACTTAGTAACAATGCTGCTCAGCCGTGTTCCCCTTTCATCTCAGTATACAACTCTGTCCTGTTCTTTGAAAGAAGTTGTAAACAGTGTTTTCAAAAGAAATGGTAACTATTATGCCTAAAGTGGGAATAGCAAAGATCTTGACTAAATTTAGGACAATACTTGGATATTCTAGTTGGATACATTCAGAAAATTCACAAGTTCAATTCTAGTTTGCACTAATATACTAGGTTACTAAAACATAAAACAAGTTTAAAATTTAGCGTTTGGTTTAGTTCAAGGATGAACAAATAAATCTTGTCTCTTTGGGTTTGGGTTAAAGGTTTCTTTCAAGACCCTGCCTCTTTAACACTGTCAATGATCCAGACAGACCTGAGTTCAAGGGCCTGTCCAATAGCTTTAATGGCCTTTGGGGAAGGTCACACCCACCTACGCTTCAGTTTTCTCATCTATAGAATAAAACTGATGTTTATCCCCAAATGACCTGCCTACCTCACTGGCTATAAGGATCAAATGAGATCATGAAGCAAAAACACTTTGAAAACAAAAAAGCAGTGACCATAAAATGTAAGACACGGATATTTGTAACAGGATTGAGAGGCTATGCCTGGGCCCTCTGCCCCACATACAGCTTTAAATGTCTATGGCCCAATCATAGTGCTGCTTCCAGATTGTGTTCAGAATGAAGCACTCAGGCCACTGTTTTCCCCAAGTGTCTGGAACTTGCTCCCTTAGTAGATCCAAATAGTCATTTCAGTATTTCTCTGGGTCTATGTGGGTCATCTGGAAATAAGAGCCATGAGACAGAGGCAGGTGTCACCAAAAGTTATATATATATATATATATATATATATATATATATATATA